TCTGGAACCCTCAGCACAAGAAAGACATGGACCTGTTGGAGCGGGTCCAGAGGAGGGCCATGAAAATGATCAGGGGGATGGAACACCTCTCCTATGAAGAAAGGCTGAGAGAGTTGGGGTTGTTCAGCCTGGAGAAGAGAAGGCTCCGGGGAGACCTCATTGCGGCCTTTCAATGTATAAAGGGTCTTATAAGAACGACGGAGAGATACTTTTTACCAAGGCCTGTAGTGACAGGATAAGGGACAGTGTTTTTAAACCAGAAGAAGTTAGATTTCGACTGCACATAAGGAGGAAATTTTTTACGATGAGGGTGGCAAGACACTGGGGGACAGGTTGCCCAGAGAAGTTGCAGATACCCCATCATTGGAAGTCTTCAAGGTCAGATTGGACAGGGATTTGAACAACCTGATCTAGTGAAAGATGTCCCTGCCCATGGCAAGGGGATTGGACTAGATGATCTTTAAAGGTCCCTTCCAACCCAACCATTCCTTGGTTCTCTGAAAAAATTAATAACGGAGAGAAATACAGTCTCTTCTGCAAAGAGAGAATTGTTAATATCAGGCAGGGAAGAGTCTTATCTAACATTAACATAGAAATTTTTTTATATAGTGTACCAGTGATTTGCTATCCTTAATAAATATTATTTAAGCCAGTCATATACATTTGAACTATGGGTGCATTCATGTCCTGTCCTTAAGAATGGAAAATTTTCCTTTGCAGTGTCTGTGGAGGGCGTTCTTTAGCTTTTTCCTCTCTCTTTATATGCACATAGCATTTAAAAGTGGATTGCATGGATCACCATTTCAGAACAGATCTTCTGCCACTGCAAATCTTTTTCAAGTTCATAGAATTTTGCCATATTGATGACTTTGTCCATTGCCTCTTTATATTTGCACAGTACCACTGTAGTGAATTACATCATGTTGCTAGCATTCATGATGCATTTGTTGCTTGGATGATGGCCCAAAATTGCTCTGCTGCTCTCACAAAGTGTAAGCAAAAAATTAAGCTCCAGAGCCATCTTCCTGAGAGGGCTATGGAGGCCTTTTTCAATTTTCTGTGCAATAGAAAAGTCCTCCTCAGGTGATCCTTCATCACTGAGGATAAAGTTCACAATGGGAAGAAAAAGGTAGCTGCCACTACATTGCAATTTAAACACGCTGAAGCGTTTGGGGATCCTGAGGCTGCTTTAGTTAGCCTGTCTGTCTGGATTGACCTTAGGTATTGGAGTCTTTGGGCGTCCAATTTTAAAAGGCAACCAATACCAACCACATCAGTTGATGTAGCCTTCTTCCTGGCCTGAAATATCTACTGTGTCTCAGAAATTTTCAGTAGTGCCTTAGTTCTCCTTGCATAAAAGGTGGGAATTTGAGCTTGCCTATCCTGATCACCAGTAATCTTTCCAGCAGCTAGTATGGAGGTTGGTAGGATCCCCAGCCTCATTAATATTTTGCATATCCAGTCCCTTTCTCAATTTTACTGTCTCTTTACTGACTTTTCCAGAACTTGACCAAGGTCTTCAGAAATCACTGGCTTCACATTACCCAATGGCCAGAAAAGCTTACCAGCAACACTACATACTTTGGAGATAATGTGGTAACTGTATGTCTATGCAACAGCCTCTTTTCTGATTGGCAGCTGCACCAGAGGAACCTGAAATTAGAGTTTGTAGGAGCGGGGAGGTTAAGATGGTAGATAGTCTCCTGAAAAGGGCTTGATTTTTTTCTGTATTACATCATTTCTTCTATTTCTTTACAGGCTGCCATTGACATGGTAGATAAACTTCTCCTGTTGTACTGCCTTTTCTCTCCCCCTTGCTTTCATGCTTTCTAAGGAGATGTAATACTATGTAAAAAATTTGTCCTATGTTCACGTTTCCCTTTCCTGTTACTGTCAATCCTGTACTGATCTGATTGACATCGTTTGCCCTATTTCACATAGTTTGTTCAGTCTCTCAGGAACTCTCTCCTCTGATGGAAACTTCATTCAGCTTCATGTTCTTCCTTAAAGATAAGCTGTTACCTGCTCAGGTCACTTAGGGCCTAAAAGCAATGAAAAAATAGTCTTCATTTAAGTTCTCTGCAGATCCATTCTGCTCAGAATACATGAAGAAGGGTAAGTCATGGATAGTCGGAGATATACTCTGCTTTATATACTATCATTTGAGCAGAGAGAAAAGAGGAGTAAGAGTGCACTCTTAACACCTTCTGAAGTGGAAACTTTCTAGTTGTAACTGACAGGGCACGAGCTTACCTACAGTTAATTTGAAAATGTCAACAGCCTGTCTCTGAAAATGTCTCAGCGTGCCAAGAACTCTGGTTCTTGGCAAATATTTTTTCTTTATTATATAATTAGCTGCTCTCAGGGAAAAAAAACCCAAGGGTAGATTTGAAGTTTTTTGTATAGGCTGAATTAGATATGCTTTGCAAGCAGTTTGCTTCCAGTGAATATTCCTGTATCATTTCTCACAGGACTGCTTACTGCGACGTAGACAGACAGGTCTGCACTAAGATTCATAAGCTGCCAAATGAAATGTTTTGTTTTGTAGAAATTTAATTGAAATGCTCCCATGGAATATCTATAACTTGATGAATCTGAACAATGAAGTCTTTATTGTGAGCACAGTCATCACTATTTTGGTGAATTTTGTCTTTAGTCAACCGCATGACAAATGGTACTTGCTGGAGAGGGTGGAAGGTAATGGCAGTTCCGTGAACTAAGTTGTTGGCACAGTTTAAAAGCCACTTGCATTCCAGCCATTCCTAATACCTGATTAGATCAATTTTCTGTTAACCTGCAAAAATACAGAATATAACCTTAGAATTAAAAGAATTACCAAATGGAGCAATGAGAAAAAGATAAAGTACCTCGTTGTGTCTTTGTAACAGCATGGAGTTTTTATGCTACAGATCTGCATCAAGCAAACCAGCTCTTCCGCGTGAGCACCGCAAACCTTGATGACTGGAAATGGAATGAAGGATGTCAGAAATCTTTCAAACCTGATTATGGAAAAGATGTTGCTTCAAAGATTGTTTTATCTTGGCAACTAACAGATTGACACGAGCTGTTTTGATTGTTGCAGTTGGCTGGGGGCTTGTTTATTTGAGGTTGTTTTGTTGTAAGCAGAGGGTTTTGTAGTTTGTGTGCCTCTTTTCTTCTCAGTTTAAAGGAAAATGTTTGTGTAGGTAATTCTGATCCACCCAAAGGAAGTAGAAACTGATGTACTGGAAGCTGATACACTAGTACACCTTCACTTCCCCAGCATGTTGCTATTTTTCTGTTTCTAGGCATCAGTTTCCATCCTACTAGTATTTTTGCTATTCATTCTTTCTGCAGTTTTTCTTTGCATTCTTTTCTGATATATTTCTCTATTGCATGTTATGGAGTTTTCTTTTTGTTTTAAAAATTGACAGAGTTTCTGATCTTGTTTTGCACACTGAACACTAATAAGACAGGAAAAGTTTGGTTATTATACGCATGCTAGCCAGTTTGGACTATGTGTCACTGAAATTCTCCTTTGGTCTATTGATTACTGGATGAATTATTGGCTGTACATTTTGAATAGTTTTTGATAATTGCATATTTTAAGTTTTTCTTAATTTGCTAGGCATAAGAAGAATGCTTGTTGTCAGCTGCATTTGAGTGGAAGTAGACAGGCTTTCTGCAGTAAGCACTGCACAATGTCTATGCTAGATTTTTATAAATCTGCTAATTCTGAATTGCAATGTTTCTTGCTCTATCACTGATTGAGGATGAAAACCAATCCTGTTATCCGTGTTTGTCCTGAGTCATTAGCTTTGCCTTTAGGAGTACAGGATTTATTAAAGCAAGGGGTGGTGTGTTCCATACCTTCCATCCTCCAGCACCTGTATAGCGAGTGATATGCCCAACTCTCTTTGTAAAAACATGTAAGTAGAAATTGAGCTTAATGTAATTTCGGTAATTCACTTCCAGAACGGAGCACAAGTTGATTGTTATGCAGGGATATAAATGCAATGCAGTGCTGTATTGTCAGACTAAATTTATACAAATGCTTGATTATGTGCAACAGTAGCATCAGAGCTTCTCCCATTTGAAGCACACTATAAAATTGTTTATGAACACTTGGTTGTGATAGAAAGAGAAAATCTATATGGAAGAAGTCAGTGAAAGTAATGTGTGCCATCAAGCATCATCATAAATTATTAAAAGAATATCCAGAAGTTTTTGTATGTTATATGTAACTATACTTGAGCATTTATTGTGGGTTTGCATGTTAATTAGTGATAAATTCTAGCTGAGACAGAACCTGCTCCAAGTGCAGAGTAAAATATGACTATGTTCATTTGTGTAATATCTATGCTAGAATATACAGTCATATTAATTCTGAAACTTTCCCATTTGCCGAAGCTATGAGCATTGTTCTGCTGTACCTGTCTGCCATCAGCAACTCTCTGAATGCCTTTATGTTGCTAAATCACAAAACGTGCCTATAAGCATTGTTCAACAGATATTTTGAGGGAAGTAGCCTTACTAACATCTTCATGGGAACCCAGTCCTCTCCCTGTTTCAGAAACATTACCTTCATTCTTAAAGTGGATATGTCGTTTTTATTTTGACGTCATTTACAGAGAAAGTTTTTTATATTTCTGGTGTATTATCGATGTATTCTATTTAATACGTAGCATTTTTGTGGGCTAATTTTAATATATATATCCTTTTACCTTGTGGTACATTTTCTAAAATAGAAGTACTGAAGAGTTGAAGATTTGTAATTTCGTACTGTAATGGTAACCTTCCAGTGACCAGACTATGTTAATTCACAGACTGTAATGTTGCTTCAGTCAAGTGTAGGTGTCCTGTCCACAGCACTAGATGATGCTTCCAGTCTACAGAAGTGTTATGCAGTGTACATGCACTGCTAACCTTTGTGCTCCAATTTAGTTATGACGTTTAGTAAGTTCCAGTTGATCACATTACACTATTTTTCTCTCCTCCTGTCTTCCCCGAAAATGTTTTAGGTAGAAGAGCTGATGATGGCCATGGAGAAGGTTAAGCAGGAGCTGGAGTCGATGAAAGCAAAATTGTCCTCTACACAACAGTCTTTGGCTGAGAAGGAAACCCATTTGACCAACCTACGAGCTGAAAGAAGGAAACATTTGGAGGAAGTCCTGGAGATGAAGTAAGTGTTTCTTTCCATTATTTGTAAGCATGTTTTATTGATATCTCTGAATTCTCCTCTGGTGTTCTAAAGACAGCCACTGTAGGAATATGTCTCTGTAGATAGCAGTTATATGTATATGTATATGTAATCAGTCAAGCCTTCAGAAAAGACTTCTGACCAGGGATTACCTACATTACTTTCACGCTTTCTTTAGAGCTCAAAAACATTTCTTCCTTCTCATCATTTGCAGTAGACTACTATTATTTGGACAACAGCATCTTCAAGGATCTTAAACAATTATTGGGACTCAATTATTTTGTGTGTCTTATGAATGTGCCATCTTGCTTTGGGTAGCCTATAATCTACTTTAAGGTGAGACACAAGTCAGTATAGCAAATGACAAAAAGGAAAGAGGGAAGAGATAAACATAATATCAGGTAGTTGTAATGCTAAAATCAGATTGCAGATGTCTGGTCTGCTAAGGTATTTTTCAAACTCATACGGATGATTCATTAGCACTGGAACAGAGTTTGAAATTCTCTATCAGTCAGACTTCTCTTGTCATCTTTACATAAGAAGGCCTGAATAAACCAAGTTTTGAGGAGGTGGGGAGCAGTGAGGAATTAGACTTCTAAGGCTTAAACACTTCCTAATTTCTGACTGTGCATTATAGATAAATAGTTATCCTTAGTTTAGGGAGACATGAATCCATTTAGTGCAATGATGGATAGTGCTGCCAGCAGTTCATTAGAAACACTTTCAGTTGTTTAGCCAGCCCTGAAGAGAAGGAACATTTTTATTGGCAGGACCAGCAGTGGTTCCTCCACTGTGGTTTTGTGAGCCATTATTTATTTATTTAACTTTTCTACGCTAGCCTCTTTCCTTTTCTTTTTTTTTTTTTTTTTTTTCCTAATGAAAGGATAGAAAAACAGCTGTTACAAACTGGAAAGAGAGGTGGCTTAGATCTTGAAACTCTAACTTAGGAGTGCTGTATAAAGTGGGCCAAGCCTCCCCAGCTTCATATTCAGCTACAACAGTCTGATCTAGACCTGGCATAAGGACGCTGGAAGACTGCAGTACTTAAAAGCCGCACTTTTTATTTTTAATAAAAAATTTTATTGAGCTATAAATTTGACTGCCTTGAAAGTTGGTGTATTGGGGGATGGGAAGAATAGCTCTTAAGGTGATGTGGGAATCCAAAGCAACTGGAGATATATCCCATATCCAATCACTTGGCAGTACTTTCTTTTGCCAAACTGCTCTGCCAAACCTTCTCATTAAAATATACACGTAGTGTACAGTATATCCTGAAATGTATTTGGAATTGTGTAGCTCTAGAGCCTTTAATATAACTACTCCCTTCTTTTAAATGATGACCTCTCTTAGCTGAGTAAGTTATTGTTGGAAAGTTGTTGTACTGAAATGTAGTATCAGGAACTGCATAAACTGGTAGATCCATTGTGCCTCAGAAGGATGAAGAATACTGGAGAGAATGGTAATGCTGTCAGCACATGGAGAGAAAGATGGAAAAAACGTTACGTTTGTATAGTTAACTAGCTGAGCATGTTTTAGTCATAGCTGGTCTGCCTTAAAGTTCTATAAAGCTGCCAAAGCTGCTCCAAACTTCAAAAACTCACCCTCACCATGAGGCTCTGTTGCAAACAAGTCTCTGCTGAGGACTCCCAGTCAATTAAATATCTTGTATTTATATACAGAAACTCCTGTTATGTTCTTTGTTGCCCTACTTTCCCAGCCTATGCCTTTTATGAAAAGCACTCTTCTCATCTGTTTTCCAGTTTTGCAAAAAGTTTTTAATGTTGTTAAAATGTTTCCTACTATTTCAACTTAAAAATAACGGTAACTGAATGAATGGGCAATTTTGTGAAGCAGTTAGCTGGTTTTGGTATCCTTAACGGAAAACAATAGCTGTTGTACAGATACTGTTCCAAGATAAAGTAAAACAATATTGTTTCCCAAGTTTTAGGGCATACTTCCCTGGGAAAAGTTTGAGGTGCTCAAAAGCAGTACTGATTATATTTAAGAGTTGATAGAGGTGTAAGTTTAACAGCCTGGCCCTGCAGTCAGCTAATGGGGCAGGGGAGCATACAAGAAAAATAGCTTAGGAAATGCTGCTGTAGGAGATTCTAGATATGGACTGAAAAAAAGTGTTAAAGCAACAAGAAGACTCCAGAAGGTTACTCCTGGGTTTTAATAGGAAGTTGTTAGATATTATGTTAATGAAAATATATATTTAAAATACTGTTTCTTAGAGTAGAACTTGTGTTTACTACTGACTCTGTAACCCTGAGAAGATCATTTCACGCTCCTTAGGGAATACTGTGGCACTAGAATAGCACAAGTGTGAATTATTCCAAGGGAGAAATTTCACTCCTTAAAGAAATACTATGTATTTTGAAGCCCTCTTCCTTTAAGTCTTAATATTTTCATTTTCTTTAAAAAAAAACTTTGTTGTAAATAATTATGAGAGAGGTAGATAATGGTCTCTCTATTTATATCACCAAACATGATCTACTGTAAAAAAATACTAGTGAACCGCTAGGATTTTTGTTTTGTTATGTTTCCTTTAAGAAGTTCTAATGTTTCCATCATTCACAGCAAATCTTTTAAATTAGGCAGGAATAAAGTGCTGTCTACAGAGAAATCTCTGTTCTTTGTCCCATAAAAACCTGCTTAGGCTGAGCTGAGTTATAAACTGTTGAAAATCACCAGTTTTCCTTTCCCTTTTTTTTCTACTGGTGTTGTCAGCAAATTTTGGCAGTGTGTGAAAATAACTGAGCACAAACAGTCTAATCTGGGGCCGAGCTCATGCAATTGCCAAAACTGTAGCAGCGGACAGTGCACTTATAGGGAAGGGGAACAGACACCATGTCTGCATGTAGAGAAGAGATTTCTTTTTTTTTTTTTTTTTTTTAAAAAAAAAAATCTAGGCAGGCCTTTTGTTGCCGTCAGAAGGACCAGAAGATTCTTCCTAGTCATCTGCTTCAGGGTTGAAAAGTCCCAGTTGGAGCATTTCTCAATCTGTTCTTTCAGGCCTGGAAAACTGTCCAACAGCCCTTTCCTGAATTATGCCTTCTTTTGCTAATTGCAATTGCTGCTAGCCCTATAATTCAAGGGGTGCAGACTTACATAATGTAATTGGCGCTTCAGAGTTGAATCCTTCATCCTGCTGGCACATAACAGAAAGATTATTACTTGTCCAAGAATAATTTACTATCCTCTTTTTTCTTTAAAAATAATCAAGGATATTACAGACAAATGAATTGTTATAATAGAACATAATTTATGTTTCGAAATCAAGCTGCCAAAAAATGTCTTTTGATTTCTTGTGTGACTTTATGTGAGTGGTCTTTTGAATATTTATTACAGTAGTCTCTAATTACATAAATACAGATAAGTATTACATCACACAGATAAGTGTTTCATTTGATACAGAGCGTAAGCAGTGATCACAGATGAACGAGGCCTGTGTAGCTTAATGAAGCTGTTTATTGTATTCCTTCCTTATTTTGTCTGGGAGTTGGAAGGCCTGCTGAGAGCTACATGAGGGCTACTATTAAAAGTAAGATGCCAACCTGGGCAGTGCTATGGAGGAAGACTGTTCATCCTTAATTCTGCTACAGTTTTCCTGCGTGATATGCAATTCACTTAAAAATATTTGGTAGATGGTTGATAAGTCCACGTGTTCATTTTCTGTCTATCAGATAAGAAAGTACAAACACGCGCACGTGAACACTCACAACTGAAAATGAAGTCAGTGGAAGCTGAGGTTGATAACTTCTGAAAAGTTTATCCTCTCAGCAATAAAGCAGTATTGTCTGGAGGTATGAGTATGAGGTTGAAATTGAAAGTAGTCCAAAAGAAACTGATTAATTGGCAGATAGTTTATTTGCCAGAAAAGTAATTTCAGTTGATCCAAAATGAGGTGTGAAGTAATTTCAAACACAGCAAACAATTTAACCAAAGAAAAATATTTCAGGCTATGTGCACCCATGGTGAACAGAACCAGCCAAAAAAAAAAAAAAAAAAGACAATGTCCATCAACTTATCAGAAATTGTCTTCTTGGAAATTAAAGAATTTTTTTTTGTCATTAGAGAAATTGTGGTTTATGGTTTAACAACAGTTCTTCAGAGGAAAAGTGATTCCTAGTTGCAGAAGTACATGTATGTTCTACATGTGTAAACAATTGTCTCTGTAGTTTGAAGGCACTTCACATTTGTTGTCAGTGCTATAAAGCAGTAGTATATTAAGCTTGCATCTGCAAGGTGTGGTTTTCTAGGCCCAATGCAAACTCTTCATCATATTGAACTGGACTGTAAGGTCTATGGGCCACTTTGTATATCAGGCCATCATGTGATTGCAGTAATGGTACCAAAGCACCTCCTATAATTACTTTGTGTGAAATTAAATAAGCTAAAATCCCACAGGGGGCACTCCATGTCCGTAGGATTGACTGTCTGGGGCAAAGCTGAACAAGTGCATGTGCGTCAGTCCCTTTTTTCTTCTATAAGCTTAGATTTTTTTTCTTTAAAATGTCTTTTTCAGGGCACACAGTGAAAACGAACACAACAATATCCTATTACCATTGTTCTGTCCTTTTTAATTTTCAAGCATAAAATATATCATTATATATGTTTATTTTAATTGTATATGGTCACCCAATTAGATTTTGACATTTAAGTTGTAAAAAGTTCAGTTGCAGTAGTCTGAAATGTGAAAAATTATCCATTTCTGATTATTGGACAATACAGACATTACTGTTTAAATAATTGGAAATAAACTGATCTTGGAACTGCTGTTAATCTCCAAGTGAATCACACAGAATCCAACAGAAAAGCTGAAATACAGCGTGTAGATATATTGTGTGCTTTTTATGGCTAAAGTTTATTGAAAGGCCAGGAAAATTATTTTTTTTAACTCCTCACTGTAATAAAACATTAGGTTTTTCATAAACGTAATTGTAGATCTTGGTTACCTTCAAATTTGGTAGCTTCTGCTC